TCCAGAATTGGCTTCCACAGTCACTTAAGGACTCACTGTTAAAACCGTGTTTATGGAAGACAATCTTACTTAGTTACGAGGGATCGCCAAAGAAGAAGAAGAAGAAGTTCCTGGATCTTGTAGATACACCTGTTTAGACCAACATTCTCCTGAATTTGAACTTCTTGATCAAGTTGTTTTAATTGCTCTTTTAAATGTTTAAACTGATGTGCTTTTTTACTAGCTTGTTGTCTTGTATATTTTAATTGTGGATGTTTTTAACGTTTGGATGGAATTTCAGTGGGTCTACTCTGGAGCAGAATTTTGTTGGAAGCAACCCTCTGGGATTTCCCACTGACAGAAGCCCATGCAAGGACTTAAACTATTGCAGTGGGGCTTTCCCTCTGTGCACCCCATTGGCTCCTGGGTATGCAGGGGGGAAAGAGGGCAGGTTGGTCCATCAGGCAAGCTGACAGAGCAATCTGCTTAGCACTGTGTTGAATTCCTCCTATTGTTTTGAATGGCGTTTTAGGGTTGTATGCTTCCTTTATATGTTGTGATATGGCAGTATAGCAATACTTTTACAAACAATAAATAAACTTAGCAGTATGGCTGGGCAATATGTTGATATATTGTCGGAAACCATTTTCAAGTCCATATTGTGATAGCAGTTTCATAATTTTTGACCTGGCAATATACAGTGGTACCTCGGGTTACATACGCTTCAGGTTACAGACTCCACTAACCCAGAAATAGTGCTTCAGGTTAAGAACTTTGCTTCAGGATGAGAACAGAAATCATGCTCCGGCGGTGCGGCAGCAGGAGGCCCCATTAGCTAAAGTGGTGCTTCATGTTAAGAACAGTTTCAGGTTAAGAACGGACCTCCAGGACGAATTAAGTACTTAACCCGATGTACCACTGTATTGCAAATCATTGTCTGTCTGTCTGTCTGTCTGTCTGTGTGTTATGCAGAAATCACAATGTGGGGGAAACCGTGAAGCCAGCCAATGCCTCTACATAGCTCCATCCTTATTTCAAACACCGTGATATGTCAGTATATTGCGATGTTTTAGCTGGTGATATCATGATGTTGAAAACCAGATATCACTAGTAAATTCCAGATGTGCTTGTCCTTTATCTAATTAAGTGCTAATCCACAAAACACAGTACAACGCTTCAGCTGCATATCCATTGCCCCTTACTCTGCTCCCAGTGCTGATGTCTGAAGCTGTGTACACAAGATGTCAGCCACAACCCATTGGTAGCTTGTAGTTTTGGGGGAAATACTGCTGATGGATGTGATTTCTCTCAAACCAGCTTTCACCCTGTTCAAAAATGTAAGGCATGGTAAAGCTGAGGCATGCACATGTTAGACATCCATTGTACATTCCCAGATAGCAACACATGAAGAGATGATGGCTAAATTGGATAAGAGCATGGGTAGGCAAACTAGGGCCTAGGGACCGGATCCGGCCCAGTCGCCTTCTAAAACCAACCCCGCGGACAGTCCGGGAATCAGCATTTTTACATGAGTACAGTGGTACCTCGGGTTACAGACGCTGCAGGTTACAGATTCCGCTAAGCCAGAAATAGTACCTCGGGTTAAGAACTTTGCTTCACGATGAGAACAGAAATTGTGCTCCGGTGGCACAGCCACAGCTGGAGTCCCCATTAGCTAAAGTGGTACCTCAGGTTAAGAACAGTTTCAAGTTAAGAACTGACCTCCAGAACAAATTAGGTTCTTAACCCGAGGTACCACTGTAGTAGAATGTGTTCTTTTATTTAAAATGTATCTCTGGGTTATTTGTGGGGCCTGCCTGGTGTTTTTACATGAGTAGAATGTGTGCTTTTATTTAAAATGCATCTCTGGGTTATTTGTGGGGCATAGGAATTCGTTCTTTCCCCCCCCCAAAAAAAAATATAGTCCGCCCCCCCCCCCAAGGTCTGAGGGGCAGTGGACCAGTCGCCTACTGAAAAAGTTTGCTGACCCCTGGATAAGAGTTTTGGTTGTTGCAGGCACAGGATAGGGTGGAAATCAGGTTTTGCCCGGGAAAACAAATCAGGTAATGTTGTGTACAGCAATGTGAAACCTAGGTTGAAACACAGCCGGGGTGGGTTGGGGGGAAATGACCTCATTGTGCTTCGAGCTGCTAATGTGTACATGCCTTTAGTCTTCAAGGTGCCGCAAGGCATTGTGTATGTTTATGGTATCATTGTAAGCTGCTTTGATTGTGTTATGCTATATAAAAAAAACCATGCAATGCAATTGTTAGCTTAGAATGGGGTGGAGGAGCCTGGAGTATTCTCCAAAGAGCAGATGCACGGCAAATACATCTGTGGACAGGAAGGGGAAATGCTGCCTTAAACATCCTGCTGCAGATGTGACTGAGCGTTTCCTTTTCCTCTTTGCCTGCTGACTGGGTAATTTCCCCTTTGTTGACCCTGCCAGGTTTGAAGTAGATTTGCTGTGGGGTTTCATCTGGAGGGTCTGGTCAAAATCCATCACTTCAATAATAATAATAATAATAATTTTTTATTTATATCCCGCCCTCCCCAGCCGAAGCCAGGCTCAGAGCGGCTGACAACAATAAAATAATACAGCATTCTAAAATCAATTCATTATAAAATCAGTTCAAATCAAATTAATGGCAACCATTGGGCTAGAGTTCTGTGAAGAATTACCAAAGGAGGGGGTCAGGTTGTGCCTTGGCCAAAGGCCTGGTGGAAAAGCTCTGTCTTGCAGGCCCTGCGGAAAGATGTCAAGTCCCGCAGGGCCCTAGTCTCTTGTGACAGAGCGTTCCACCAGATCGGAGCCACAGCCGAAAAAGCCCTGGCTCTGGTTGAGGCCAGCCTAACCTCTCTGTGGCCTGGGACCTCCAGGATGTTCAGGAGAATTCATTGGCTTTGAAAGACAATTAGACAAATTCGTGGAGGGAAAGGCCATCAGTGGCTACTAGCCATGAGGAATAAGCTCTCTGCCTCCACAGTCAGAAGAAGAAGAGTTTGGATTTGATATCCCGCTTTATCACTACCTGAAGGAGTCTCAAAGCGGCTAACATTCTCCTTTCCCTTCCTCCCCCACAACAAACACTCTGTGAGGTGAGTGGGGCTGAGAGACTACAAAGTGTGACCAGCCCAAGGTCACCCAGCAGCTGCATGTGGAGGAGCGGAGACGCGAACCCAGTTCCCCAGATCACGAGTCTATCGCCCTTAACCACTACACTACACTGGCTCTCAGAGGCAGCGATGCTTCTGAATACCAGTCGCTGGAACCCACAGGAGGGAGAAAGTCCTCTTGCTCTCAGGTCCTAGAATCATAGAATCATAGAGTTGGAAGAGACCACAAGGGCCATCGAGTCCAACCCCCTGCCAAGCAGGAAACACCGTCAGAGCACTCCTGACATATGGTTGTCAAGCCTCTGCTTAAAGACCTCCAAAGAAGGAGACTCCACCACACTCCTTGGCAGCAAATTCCACTGTCGAACAGCTCTTACTGTCAGGAAGTTCTTCCTAATGTTTAGGTGGAATCTTCTTTCTTGTAGTTTGGATCCATTGCTCCGTGTCCGCTTCTCTGGAGCAGCAGAAAACAACCTTTCTCCCTCCTCTATGTGACATCCTTTTATATATTTGAACATGGCTATCATATCACCCCTTAACCTCTTCTTCTCCAGGCTAAACATGCCCAGCTCCCTTAGCCGTTCCTCATAAGGCATCGTTTCCAGGCCTTTGACCATTTTGGTTGCCCTCCTCTGGACACGTTCCAGTTTGTCAGTGTCCTTCTTGAACTGTGGTGCCCAGAACTGGACATAGTACTCCGGGTGAGGTCTGACCAGAGCAGAATACAGTGGCACTATTACTTCCCTTGATCTAGATGCTATACTCCTGCTTTTGAGCTCCCCACAGGCCACTGTGAGAACAGAATGCTGGACTAGATGGTCCACTGGCCTGATCTATCAAGGCTCTTCTTATGTTTTTAGAAATACCAAACAGGAAGATGTCTTTATCTCGTCTGGCATGAAGTGGAGAGGCATGGAGTGACAATGTTCGAAACAGGAAACTGACATTTTTGCAAAGGATTTCTCGCATGCATTAATAATATTTCGTTTGATTCATTTATCAAAGTATTTCTTCACCACTCTTTCGCAAAACATTGGGGTAGTGCACAGGGACATGAAAACATTTTAAAACAACAGGAAGAGATAATTAAAGGGACATTTTAAAATAATTGCACAGGCCTACCAGTAATGAAGGATATAGAATTGTTGGAAGGGATCACAAAGGCCATTTAGCCCAACCGTCTGCCAGTGCAGGAAATCGAATTTATATGGCAACCCTACTTGTGAAATCCTCTAAGCACAAGTTTCCACGAGTGCAACTATTGCATTAGATTCCTCCAGGGAGTAGCATTAAATCTACCCTTGTGTTAATGGACAAAGAATGTTGAATAGTCCTGGTTATTAGTTTTTAACCTCAAAAAATTCACAGCTTATTTTTCAGTAAACCACTTCCAAGATGCCCCTGTTCATGCTAATCTCTTTTTCTGTACTGGGTTGCCAATAATGTGCATGCGTGCGCGCGTGTGTATAGTGTAAAGAGAGTGACAAATAATGGTATGACTTGGCTCAGAATCTCAGCAAACACCTGTGTGTGTAACCAACAAGAGCAACCCTTCATGGACCCTACACCATGAAAAATGATGCCTCTCTGGAAGACTGTCTTGGAAATTGACAGTGATGTCTGAGCTTGTGGCAGGTGATAGAGGAGGATCCAAATCTAGTAACTCATAAGAAGCCAGTGCCTCAAATTTACTGCCTATCCATTTCACTGGATGACCCAGACTTTGACAATGAAGGGAGAGAAAGATGCCGGAATTTCTAGCCACTTAGAAACACAGGCAGCTGCCTTGTACAGAGTCAGACCATTGGTCCACCCAGCCCAGTATTGTCTATATTGACTAGCAGTGGCTCTCTAGGGTTTCGGACAGACTCTTCATAGAATCAGAATTGTAGGAGTTCAATCCCTGGAGACGCCAGGGATTGAACCTGGGACCTTCTGTATGCAAGGCAGGTGCCCTACCACTGAGCTACAGTCCTTCCCCCACTTTTCTGCATGCCTAAAATCTTATCATCCCCACCAGTGGTCTCTCCCCTAAACTGAAAAACCCCAAATGCTTGACTTTCTTTATCGGACAGGTGCTCCAACGCTTTTGTCATACTGGTCGCTCTTTTCTGTATATTTTCTACTTCTGGCACCATCCTTTTCAGCCTAAGGCAACCTTTGGTTCCATCTGTCTTTTGCAGGGCTACGATGTTCATCAACCCCATCCAACACAGCCTGATGAGAGTTGTAGTCCAAAACAGCTGGAGGGTACAGTCGTACCTTGGTTCTCGAACAGAATGCGTTCCAGCAGTCCATTTGACTCCCAGAACCATTTGAAAACCAAGACGTGGCTTCTGATTGGCTGCAGGAGCGTCCTACAGCCAATCGGAAGCCAAGGAAGCTGCGCTGGATGTTTGGCTTCCGAAAATGGTTCGAAAACCACAACCCTCACTTCTGGTTTTCGATCATTCCGAAGCGGAAACGTATGAGTTCCAAGGCGTTCAGCAAGCAAAGTGTGACTGTACCAGGTTGGCAAAGACTGTATTAAGGGATAAGACATCTATACTGTCCTGAAGTCACGACCTGCTGCCATATCTATTCTTTTGGATAGATTTGTAGCTGTTGCAGCAAAGAGCTGTAGCAATTTTACTCAGCGGAAACATTTGCTCCGTTCTACGCAACTTGTTTTCTTGTAACATGCATTCAAACCTGGAGTTTTAACAATAGTTTCCCTTCTGGCATTTGAATCATACGAAAGAAAACCCACCTTTTCCTGGAGGAATTGGGCACACAGAGAAAGGCATGTGAACAACAAAAGAGATGCCAGTTTCATGCCCTGAAGAATCAGACCCACAGAGGTCGGTTGGCGGCTATTAAAATCGGAGCGTTGAGCTTGCAGCAAACCCGCCCCCACCCCTGCCGGATTTGAACTAATCTCCTTGCACCGCCAAGCAGGGCTTTGAAACTAAACAAATACTCAGCACCCAGAATGAAAAACAACTTGAGGCTGAGGAAGGCTGGGCTAAGTTTCAAAAGAGTCGGACAGCAGCCACAAACGCACACAAAGGTTGCAGAGGGAAAGCATTGGTCTCTCTCCTGCTAGCCTACTCTCAAAATTATGTCTTAAACCTGTTAGGACATTGACAGGCAACCTCTTTTACTTGAACATTCATCCCCATTTGTTTGCAAGGAGGGTAGAGGACTTTGCGCCAATGGGAAAGTACCATCCCAGAGTTTCCAGTGCATTTTCCTATCAGTTTCCTGCGCTTTTTGCACTTTCGTCTAGCTTGCAAGTTTCCCATTGGGACATCTGGTTGGCCACTGTGAGGACAGAAGGCTAGACTAGATGGGTCATTGGCCTGATCCTCTAGGGAAGTAGGTTTGTTGCACAAGGAGACCTCCCATTTGATTATCACTGCGCGACCTGAACCTGCCTGGGCATGACTGGATCCCACCCCAAAATAGCCACAGTCTGAAAGTGCCTTTACCCCATCTGGGTTGTTCCTACAGAACTAAAGGAAGCAGACCAGGCAGCAAGAAAGACAAAAGGAACCCAATTCGGCTTCAGGGACACTTGGTAAACGTGAGCAGATACGGTTTCCCTCCTTAAAAATGACCAAAAAACCACCATGCAGTTGTAATATTTATATAAATATACACAATATATAAAACAGTTGACGATCTTGGATTCGAAAATACTGCTCAGAACAACAGATTAAGTTTAGGTTACAAAATGGTAGAATCCAGTACCAGTCTTGACTCCTGTGTCAACCCTACTGAAATGATCGAAGCTTATGCAAAAGCAAGGCTGTAAATTAAGAGTGCAATGTAAACGAAAAAAGAAAAATTGGGAATTGAAACCTTGAAAAACTGATTACTTGACCAGACTTTTGGAACCGGGATGGATTTTTATTTAGAGGCAAAAATACTGACACGGTCATTAATAAAAAATAAATCCAAGTGTGAAAATCTCCTCCTTATCGCACAGCTTAATAGTTAACAACATACACTGAAAAGTTTTTTAAAAAACAAAACCCAACACTTTTAAGGCAGGTGTGTAGGGAGGAAATCTTACCCTATGAGTGCCCTGCCCTTTGAACACAGGGAAGCTCTGACCCTCAAGCCAGCCTTTGCACAATCCCACTGACTTCATATCTGGCCAAACTGAGACCACTTGGGATCACAGCCATACTCCAGTTTTACTCCAAAGATGCAAATTCGAGGAGCCATTAAAAAAACCAATTCTAAAACGATCTATTACTCCTGCAATGCTTGCTCAGCGTTTAATACCCGGCGAATCCCTTTGGATCATTTGAAACAGTACAAAACGAGGCAACCCCCCCCCCCAACCCGGAATATTTACAATCAGGATGGCTTTCCCAAAGCTAACCAAACACCTGCTCTTTTTCTTTTCTTTTCTTTTCTTTTTTGCCCGGCTTGATTTAGAGTGCAAATTCTCCCATTTACATATAATTTAAAAGAAGCAGACCGTGTGTGTGTGTTCCCACCCGAAGCTTCCAGTTCAGAAGCGACGCCACGAAATCGATACAATTTGGGGGTCCAAAAAATACCTCCCCCCCAAACCCAGAGGAGTCCTAAATGCAACGGGGAGTTCCTGGGCGCGATTCCTTTTCTTCGCAAAAGAGAGTTTTCTTGGGAAGAAGAGACAAAAGCAGTTTAAAAGGGAGAGGGGAGGGAGCGCTGGTCTTCTGCCAAGGCGATCGCCCCTCGGAAGCTCGACGGCGAGGCCGAGAGACGCGCCAACGCCGCTGCCGCTGCTCCCCGCGAAGTCCCCGCTGCGCTGGCTCCGACGGCCGCCGTCGAAGTTCCCCTGCCGGGGGCGCCTTCAGACGTAGTTCTTCTTGTCGTACTCCCCGTTGGAAGTGGCGGCGTTGGTGGCGGGCCTCCTGGGAGCCGAGTACTTGACGGGGAAAGCCGAGGGGTCTCCCTTGCGGGCGCAGGAGCAGCAGATGAGCGAGCCCCCCACCATCAAGAGCGCGGCGGCGGCCCAGCCGAGGTACAGCGCCGCGCCCATCTCCCGCTTGCGCGACGACGGCACCGAGGGGTCGTAGAAGTTGCCGATGACGATGTTGGCGTACCAGCAGGGCGGGATGAGCACCAGGAGGCCGCAGGCCACGAAGAGGCCGCCGCCCACCGCCGCGATCAGGTCCTTGGCCTTGCCGGGGCGCACGCAGTTGGTGCACTGTGCGCCCACCACCGTCACCAGCAGCGCCACCAGCCCCAGCAGCGCCCCGATGACCATCAGCGCCCGGCCGGCCTGCGTCTCGGGGCTGAGCGCCAGGATGGAGTCGTGCACCTTGCATTGCATCTGCCCCGTGCTCTGCACCACGCAGTTCATCCACAGGCCCTCCCAGGTGCTCTGCGCCACCACGATGTTGTTCTCGATGAAGGCCGACACCTGCCACATGGGCAAGCCGGCCACCACGATGGCCCCCAGCCAGCCCAGCAGCGACAGCGACAAGCCCAGGATTTGCAGCGCGGCGGACGCCATCCCGGCGTCTGGCCTCGACGGCGCTTCTCCAAAGACGGGGTGGGATCTGACCTCTGGATCTCCTCTCCTCCGATCAGCCCGGGTCGCCTCTTTCAGCCTTGCTTCTCCTTGCGTCTCCTGCAAGCCCGCTCTGCCGCCTGAGTCTCATGCAGAAGCCGCCCCGACGTGCCTCTTTATAGAGGCGGCCGCGATGCCCGGGCAGGCGGACCCTGGCTGCCCCCGCCGGAGGGCCTCCCCCGCCCAGGCGCGCCGTAGCCAATCGGGAGAGGGCAGCGGCCCCCTCGCAGCCAATGAGGGGGCTGCGAGGCAGCGGTTGAAACAGGGCAACACAAAGACGCGTGCGGGTGACTCACGGTTCGACGGGGCGGGAGGGACGGAAGCCGCTCGCCGCCCGCTCCTCATCCCCTTGTGACTGCGGTGGGGAAAGGGTGCCATGGGGCAAAGGTACTTCCCAGGGTTTAGAAAAGGAGAGAAAAAGGGGGAAGGCTCCGTCTGTGCCAGGGAGGTCGCTTGCGTCCCGTGTGAGACGTGCGCCAGGCAGGAAGAAAGAGAAGAGAACCCTGCCGTCAGTGTTGGAAATGCAGCAATGGTCTGACTCCGTATAAGGCAGTTCGTCTGTTCTTGCGAAGACTAGAGTCCAAAATTACCTGCTGGCACCAGTGGGGAGAAATCTTTCCCTCTGGGAAAGAACTTACTTTTTTAAACATTTGGTTTAATTTACAGTGGTACCTCAGGTTACATACGCTTCAGGTTACATACGCTTCAGACTCCGCTAACCCAGAAATAGCACTTCAGGTTAAGAACTTTGCTTCAGGATGAGAGCATAAATTGTGCTCCGACGGTGCGGCAGCAGCAGGAGGCCCCATTAGCTAAAGTGGTGCTTCAGGTTAAGAACAGTTTCAGGTTAAGAACAGTTTCCGGACCTCCGGAACGAATTAAGTACTTAACCCGAGGTACCACTGTATTGTACAGTCATCCCTCCGGTTACAGACACTTCAGGTTGTGCGTTTTCGGGTTGCGCACCGTGCCGAACCCAGAAGTACCGGAACAGGTTACTTCTGGGTTTTGGCGCATGCACAGAAGCGCTAAATTGCACTCTGTGCATGTGCAGAAGCACTGAATCATGACCCACACGTGCGCAGACACGGCGCTGCGGGTTGCGAATGCTGCGGGTTGCGAACATGCCTCCCACACGGATCACGTTCGCAACCTGAGCGTCCACTGTATTTCTAGACTGCTTTCCATTCAAAGCAGATTACAAACAATAGCATTATAACAAAAAACTGATGTGGAAGTGTGTAGAACAAAATTTAGGGTTGCAATTCGAACCGCTGACCTTCCAATCGGCAAGCCCAAGAGGCTCTGTGGTTTAGACCTCAGTGCCACCTGCACCCATGAAACAACAAAAACTGATGTGGGAATGTGGAGAACAAAATTTAGAGTTGGAAAAATGAGAAATGCATAGTAACTAAAATTGACAGATCTGTCCATCCCTAGTTAGCAAATAAGTACTAATTATTGGAACCTTTTAATGAGGGTGAAAGAGGAGAGTGCAAAATATGGTCTGAAGCTCAACATCAAAAAAACGAAGATCATGGCCACTGGTCCCATCACCTCCTGGCAAATAGAAGGGGAAGAAATGGAGGCAGTGAGAGATTTTACTTTCTTGGGCTCCATGATCACTGCAGATGGTGACAGCAGTCACGAAATTAAAAGACGCCTGCTCCTTGGGAGAAAGGCGATGGCAAACCTAGACAGCATCTTAAAAGCAGAGACATCACCTTGCCAACAAAGGTCCGTATAGTTAAAGCCATGGTTTTCCCAGTAGTGATGTATGGAAGTGAGAGCTGGACCATAAAGAAGGCTGATTGCCGAAGAATTGATGCTTTTGAATTATGGTGCTGGAGGAGACTCTTGAGAGTCCCATGGACTGCAAGAAGATCAAACACATCCATTCTTAAGGAAATTAGCCCTGAGTGGTCACTGGAAGGACAGATCGTGAAGCTGAGGCTCCAATACTTTGGCCACCTCATGAGAAGAGAAGACTCCCTGGTAAAGACCCTGATGTTGGGAAAGATGGAGGGCACAAGGAGAAGGGGACGACAGAGGACGAGATGGTTGGACAGTGTTCTCGAAGCTACAAACATGAGTTTGACCAAACTGCGGGAGGCAGTGGAAGACAGGAGTGCCTGGCGTGCTCTGGTCCATGGGGTCACGAAGTCGGACACGACTAAATGACTAAACTTCAACAACTAATTATTGGTTAGTCAACCAAATGTTACTCTTCTGTTAGCCTTTATCTTTTGCCAGACGGTACTTAAGAGTTACTGCAGCAGAGGAACAGAAGGCAAAATTGTTTTAAGAACACCTAATCCCCATTGACTATCGAGGAAGGCGGGGGATCATGAAAGGCAAATATTGCATTTAGTAAGCATCTCCCTCCCGTTGCTTGTTAGGACAAACTCTTAGATCTTTCAAGATGTATCACTTTGGAAGATGAAAAATATACAGCGCAAGTGAAGTTTTGTTACAAAGCCCTAAACCGATTTAATCCCACTGCAACTCATCAAGCAGAATCAAGTGGTGATATTATAATTCTCTATACACATCTACTGAGAAGTAAGTCACTTTGTGGTTTTTCTAAATATCTTTTCCATTTTACAATATTCAACAATAACTATAAATCACACACAAATCCAATAATGTTTTCTGCTGCTTTCCTCCCTCCTCTTCTGCGGTTTCTTATTTTTCTATCAAATTCTTACTGCATATCTTAATTTATCCTTTTTACCCATTTATCCTTTTTAATTCCCTTAGCATCCTTACTGCTTGTGTTTATATCAATGCTGCTGATGTTTCTAATTGTTTACAGTTTGTTTTCATATGTATTCAATAAATTTCCCCCATTCTGCTACAAAGTATTTATCATCCTGATCTCTTAACCTTCTGGTAAGTTTCGCCATCTCTGCGTATTCCATCCATTTTAGTTGCCAATCGTCTCTTTTTGGGGTCAGTTTCTCTTTCCAGTTTTGTGCATATATCATCCGGGCAGTCGTGGTAGCATACATAAATGGTTTTTTTCCTGATCTTTCGGCACCTCTTCTCCAAGTATACCTAAAAGGAAAGCTTCTGGTTTTCAAACAAAAGTTATTTTAACCCCCCCCCCCAATTCATTATAAATCATTTCCCAGAAGGCTTTTGCAACTTTACAGGACCACCACATGTGAAAAAAGTACCTTCTTTCTTTTTACACTTCCAACATATATTGGATTTAGACATACATTTTTTCCAGCTTGCTAGTCATCAAATCTAGACAGCATCTTAAAAAGCAGAGACATCACCTTGCCAACAAAGGTCCGTATAGTTAAAGCTATGGTTTTCCCAGTAGTGATGTACGGAAGTGAGAGCTGGACCACAAAGAAGGCTGATCGTCAAAGAATTGATGCTTTTGAATTATGGTGCTGGAGGAGACTCTTGAGAGTCTGATGGACTGCAGGAAGATCAAACCTATCCATTCTTAAAGAAATCAGCCCTGAGTGCTCACTGGAAGGACAGATCGTGAAGCTGAGGCTCCAATACTTTGGCCACCTCATGAGAAGAGAAGACTCCCTGGAAAAGACCCTGATGTTGGGAAAGATGGAGGGCACAAGGAGAAGGGGACGACAGAGGACGAGATGGTTGGACAGTGTTCTCGAAGCTACCAGCATGAGTTTGACCAAACTGCAGGAGGCAGTGGAAGACAGGAGTGCCTGGTGTGCTCTGATCCATGGGGTCACGAAGAGTCGGACACGACTAAATGACTAAACAACAACAGTCATCAAATACCATCTATACATCGTCTTCATGCAGTTTTCTTTTAATGCATAGCATGCTGTAAATTTTACATCTCATTTCCAAGATCTTTCCCATGCTGCCATATC